GGTTCCGGGCAGAAGACCAAGAGAGGAGCGCCCTTTCTGGCCCCAGGAAAGGCTGCAGGCCCGGCTGCAGGCACCAGGTGGCCACCTAACAATATTGTACAAGGTACTATTTTTTTAAAACTATTTATTTTTATTTTTAAAATCGTGCAGATCACTTGCTTCTGCCTTTTTCCGCCCCTTTCCACCCAGCTGCAGCCCTGGACCCACCATGCCCCACTTCAGCGCCTGTCGCTCCCACTCTGGCCACCCAGGAGGTCCCCACATCCTCTGTGGAGGTGGCACCAAAGTAGCCCCGCGGGACACCTGCTGGCAGGTGCTGGTCGAGGCCCATGAGCAGAATATGGCTTGCTCACAGCAGGACTGAGCCCCTGGTGGGAGGGAAAGATTTAAAAGAAATGGAACAATCCAGCCCAAGGCTGCTGAAAAGACCAGGCAAGCTCCAGAGTGGCCTGCAGAGAGCTGCTGCTGCTTTCCTGGCAGCATTCGCTTGCTGTCTGCCCTTCCAAGAAGGAAGGAGGAACACAACGGCTCACGCCAGAGCATCTCGGGCAATTGCACCATCCAGGATTTGCCCCAGACAACAGCAGCTGCTCCCAGGCAGCAAGTGGGGAATTTCCCTGGCTGAGGTGGGGTCAGGCACGCTTGATGTCTTCATTCCTGCAGCACCTTCCGTTGCTGGTTCCCTAAAGTGTCGCACATGCTCCTCTGGCTTGGAAAGGGGGCAGGGAAGGGTGGTGAGCTGAACAACAGAAGGGATGTGGAGATAACCCTGCCCTCTATTCAGCTTTCAGCTTGGGGTAATCTAAAACCCAGGGAAGACCCGTGCCCCAAGTTTTTTAACACCATCCCAAGCCAGAGAATGGGGCAGGATTTTTCTATCCTCTTTGCAAAAGAGGAAACTGCAGCACAGTAAGGCAGCAAGATGTCAGGCATGACTGCAGAAGCACGGATCCACAGCCTGGTCTTCTGGCACCTCCTGTGCTCTTTCTTTAGCATTGATGCCAGTTATGGGAAAGGAGCGCCCTGCTGGGACCCCCCAGCCTCGGCCTCAAGCGCCAGGAAGGCTCTGCAAGTGGGAAAGTCCCTGTGCTCCCACTCACCTTCTGCTGTGCTAAGGACCCAAGGGAGCACGAGGGGCTGGGGGAGCCCCTGCAGCCTCCACGGGCACCCGGGGTAATGCTCAGCCTCATCACACTGAGGGGGAGCGAGTGGGTTAGATCACATGAGACCTCAGGCGCCCACAGCAAGAACAAACATTTATTAGAGTGAGTGTTAATTTTCCTCACACCCACGCTTATTCTGATGGGGTTTTGAGGTGCTAGAGGATGCTCCATCTGCCATATGGTGTGAAAAAGAGTCCTCTCTTGCTCCTCCTCTGGGTAAGCTGAAGACCCCCACAAGTCAGATGCATGGCAGGGAGTTTGGGAAAATTCAGCCCTGCCACTGGGCACAAATACTACAAAAAAAGCCTCCTCTGTGTAGTGTTCGTAGTGCCACCTTCTTCCCTCCGAGAAGGGAGCCTGAGGCCAACAAAACTTTTCCAATGGGGGAAGGGAGATGAATAACGTCTCCCAAAGTGGCTCTGCTCCCACTGAACTGCAGTCAGGCAGGGTCCCAGCGGGCAGCAGGGCAACAGCGCAGAGCAAGGAGGCAGCCCGACGGGCCAAAGGAGTCCAGCTGCTCATTCGGAGCACACAACGGGCTTCCCCGAGATCTTCAGGTCATCAAAGGGCAGCAAGGCAAGGAGCTGCAAAGGCCAAGGGTGCAGAGGTGTAAGGATCCAGGGTTGTGTCTCCACCGGGGCTGGTGTAGGGCCCCAGAACTGCCCCTCCAGTCCTGCAGCCTCCCACCTCCCCAGGGAAGTGCTAAGAAGCCCTGGCTGGGCTTTTTCTAGGGCTCAAGGCAACAGGCACTCACCCCATGCACCCCTAGAGCCAATGCCTGTACCCTATAGGGGAGGAAGGAAATGGCTAGAAACTCCTCCTAGGAGCCGCCCCCCAAATCACTCAACTCCTGCCCCCCCCTACATGCTTGCAGAGCCACAGGCCTTCCCCCACGCAGACTCACGTCGTCGTTGCCATCAGCCAAGTCCTGGGCTGTCTCATTCTCCATGTTCCTCAGCAGAGTGTCAGCCCCGGAGTGCGAGAGGATGGCGGCGATGGCAGCATCCTTGCGGCCCACAGCCAGGTGGAGCGGGGTGCACCCGTTGTACATCTGGGCGTCCACGTAGGCCCCGTTGCGCAGCAGGAACTGGACAGCCCTGCGGTTGTGGCACTCCACGGCCAGGTGCAATGGGGTCTTCCCGCTCGTGCCCTCCTGCAACACACAGACCACTAGGGCATCAGTGTGGGGTCTCCTCAGATGGGTCCCACAGCACCCACCTACACCCCCTTGGCAGGTGGGCAGCCCCCACCCCGACTGCTGTCATGGCACCCAATAGCCCCTCAAGGACCTTTTCCCTCTGTTCCCTCAAAACTCATTGCCTCCAAGCCCCACAGCAGTGCCTGCTCCACCTTACCCAAACATTGCACCACGTCTGGCCTTACCCGAACATCGATGTTGGCGCCGCTCTCCAGCAGCAGAGACATCATCGGGATGTTCCCCTTCAAGGTGCTGATGTGCAGACAGGCCAAACCTGGGGTGGGGAGGCAGGAGAGAGAGCCACAGTGAGCCGCCCAGACCACCCCAAAGCACCCCAACCCCATCCCTGTGCCCACCCTGTTGCACTCCCTGGTCCCTGCACACACAATGCATGGTCTCTGCCCCAAAGGCTCTGCACCTTGCCAGTTCTGGAGCTGCAGGTCCTGGTGGTGCCCGTGGGGCTGTGCCATGCCCTGCGGTGGGGCTGAGCCCTGCAGCAGCTGCTGGGCACAGCGCAGGCGCTGCTGCTCGCAGGCCAGGTGCAGCGGGGTGTTGCCATTGCGGTCCTGCAGCCCAAGGTTCACTCCCTTGTGGATCAGCGCCTGGATCACGCTGGGCTGCTCCAGGTACACAGCGAGGTGGAGCGGGGTCTAGAAAGGAGGTGGGGACAGAAATTAGGAAAGTGGGGAGGATGCCCAGCAGGGCATCAAGCATGAGGAGCCACAACCTGGAGGCATAGGCAAGCTGCCACGCAGAAGCTCATCCCTGTACCACTGGTAAGGGTGGCTGTCACCAAGGGGTGCAAATGGCTTGCTGCCCCCCTGCGCCTCAGCTCATGGGGGCAGATCTCACTCTCCCAGGTTCTCTACCCTGTCACATTCAAGCTGTGTCTACTCCCTGCTCTGGAGATGTCTGTGATGTCCTGGGGCCTCGCAAAGACCCCATCACCCTGTGGTGCTGAGACTTGTCACACCTCTCTCTCAATGTATCTCCCACAATCTTCTTCCCCTCCCTGAAAATGGGCAGCTCACATGGGACCTTCACCACACTCTGGAGGAAGCTGGTGGGGGGTCCTGAGGAAAGGGCAGATGGATTGGGAGCAGCCTACGGCACCTGCCTTCCTCCCATCTTCTGTCTATCACATCCACATACCTGGAAAAGATCATTTTGGATCTCCAGCACCTCCTTGGGCAGCTGAGCGATGCAGCATAGTGCCACAGCTGGGACACAGTGGATGATGGCCAAGTGAACCAATCTACAGAGGGGAGAAAGGGAATTGAAGAGGAAAACCAAAGACAAATGAGTCTCGAAAGCCATGGTCAGGAGCAGAGATCCTCCACTGCCGCGTGGAGGAATAACCTCCCCAACTTTCCCTTCCCAGCACATCGGGCCTCCTCCATCCTGCTCTCTCCGTGGGGAAGCCCAGCAGCAGGGCAAGGCAGGAACAAGGCCTGAGGCTCTGATCCCCACAGGGGACGGACCCCCCCTGTCCCTGCAAAGCACCACAGGGTCCTCTCTTGGACCTCACAGCATGCACGGGGCTTGGGCCCAGCACTGCCCAAAGTCAGGCCTCCAACTGGGGCAGGTCCAAAGAGCCAGGGATGCATTTCACAAAGCTGAAGGGCCAGGTTTGGCAGCTGCAGCGGGAGATCTGGGCTCCGGCAGCTACCGGGGGAATTCCAGCTCCCCGCTGCAGCCTGTGCACTGCACTTCTGCTTTCCCCTCTGCCAAGGCAGGCAGCCAAAGCCAGCCAGGAGCCCAGCACCAGTCCAAGATCACCTGTGTGGCACAGTTCCAGTGCCGGCCAATCTGCTGGCCCGTGCCAATTTCCTCTTCTCTCCCCCACATCCTTCCCTTTAGGCACTGCCGCGGCAGGGCTGGCACGCAGCTCGCCGGCGCAGAGGGACACTGGAGATACCTCTGTTAGAGGTCAGTGGCCAGCAGAGAGCCCTGGTCCTCAGGATCATGGCCTCCACAGCCATGGGGTGGCCAGGCAGCCAGGGCTCCCCCAGCTCAAGGAGAGGTTTTATTTCTAGCTGGGTCTGATGTCGGCCCTCAGCGCAGTCAAAACAGAAGTGAGAGCGAGCGACAGAGGCAGAGCCGAGAGGGAATTTCCAGTCCCTCTGCTGACCTGTTATGTTCCTAGGCCCCGCTGTGCAGAGGGACTGGCCTCCCCGCTGCAGGGCAGCACCCCCCGGGCCAGCTCCAGCCACAGTGGGCAGCAGAGAGGAGTAGGCAGCAGCGACGAGCAAGCAGGAGCTCCTGCTCTGCAGCACGTGGCAGGCCTGAGCTGTGCCTCCTGCCACCTCCTCGCCTGTCCGCACTGGGGCCCCTGGGTGGCTTTTATCTCCAGCAGGTATCAGCTCCAAACTGAAAGCCAGGCTCCAAGCAGCCTCCTGCTGCCCACACTGCTTGGTGGAGGCAGGCAGGGACAAGGAATGGAGGGCGAGAGCTGTGCCAGCCCCAGCAAGACACGCTGCTCACCAGAGCGCCTAGTTTTGGAGTACTGCCTGCCATGTGGGAGTCAGGCCAGCACCCCTCCACAGGCAGGCAAGCAAGACCCGGCCCTACAATGCCGCAGCAAAGAAGCAGGGTGTATTCTCACCAGCTGCAGTGGGAACATGGGCATGCTGAGGTCCCCAAAATGTCCTTTATCCACCTCCTCCCATGCTCTGTCCAAGGGTTGAGCCAGCACCTGAGACCCTGGGCATCCTCTACTAAGCCCCATTTTTGGTAGCAAAAGAAGGCCGGCTCCTCTTTGCCCTGCCACCAGGGGAGAGGCTGCATCCCCGGGGAAGCCCCGGGTCACACCACGGCTGGGAATTCCCCGCTGGAAGGAGAGGCCACCCACATTTGCCTCTGCACCACTGTGGGGTGCCCCCTCACCACTGGCACTCCCCGAGGCAGGGGAGGGGGCTGCAAACCTGGATGCAGCCCAGCTGAGAGGCCCCATGGGCAGGGTTCGGCTCCCCTTGGCAGACCATGGGGCAGGGGTAGAGACAAGGGGTGCGGGGCAGGCTGGCAGAGGGCAGGAACGAGGGGCAGAGCTGGAGGACCAGCTGCAAGAATACCCCTCCCCTCAGCGGGCTATCGCTGGCCTCAGCCTGGGTATGATCCGGGCAGGGAGATCCCCTGCTGGGTTTTGCATCAGGCCCCCGCTCCCCGTGGTGGCACCTGGGCCGAGGTGTCCTTTGCCCGCTTGCAGGGACAGCCCCGGTTTCTCCAAACCCACTCCCAGGCGCCACACGCAGGAGGAGGCTGCAGGATCTGCCTTTTTCAGGTATGGCAGAGATAAGGCTGCTCAGACAGGGGACTTTCCAAGGCAATTTGGCTTGAACTTTAAACTTCTGCTGCTTTCACTTTCCAGAGCCAAGCTGGGCTCCTGTGGGAGACAGCAGTGCCCCGGGTCACATCCCCCCTGCAGCCAGCCTCTGCGTCCCTAGGAATCCCCCCTGCCCCTCTGCCACGACCCACGCCCTGCCCCATTGGGACAAGTGGGGTGGTCACCAGGGGGAGGTGGAAACCCCAGGCAGCCCTCTGCAGCCACCAGCACATCACTCTTTCTGGCTTGGGTGGCTTTGCAGCTCAACGAGGCGGCAGAGCCGCTCAGCTGATGCTGAGTAAGTTTGGCCACAGAGGTGATGGGGGTAGCCATCCCCACCTGGCCAGAGATCAAGCTTTCACCTTGAAGCTGGGACATGGCTACTTTGAAAGATTGCTTCCCCCGCTCCGTCTTCCTTCTCCACCCTCCTCCTGCACTTTCATTTCTGCATTCGTTCCCCCCCTTTCTTTCCTCACTGCCAGCCCTCAACTTCCTAAAATGGCTGCGAGAGCCATGAGCTATCATGGGCTGGGATGAGCCCACCAAGAGCGTGTGGGCACCGAGGCACCCTGTGCCATGGGCAGTGATGCCAATCAAGAACCGAGGTCAGCTCCTGCTGACCTGGGAGACGTCTTATGCCCGGGAGACCCAGGGTGCAGGCACCGTGTCAATCTCCACTTTTTTCTGGCCAAGGCTATAAACACACCTCTCTCTCAGCCATGGCAGCCGTGTGGTCCAGACAGTGACAGGCTGTGGCACGCTGTCATGAAACACCCACAGCTGAGCCTCAGAGCCAGGGTGCGGCGATGGAGAGATGCCTGCTTGCTGCCAGACACCCCTCGTCACCCAGCCACGGCCCTCTGCCTTGGCCAGAACAAGCCCTCCACCCCACCACGCTTAGACCTTTGCCCTCCCCTCGGCTGCCTCTGTGCCTCTCCTCTGTCTTCCTCTGCTTCCCTGCTCCCTCCCTCCCTGCACTCCTACCTGGTGGCCAGGGGGACTTTTGGAAAGGGCGACAGGGAGTTTTGGAAAGGGCAGGGGAAACAAGGCCAGTCTAGGACTACAGGCTGCTGCATTTCTCATCTTTTCCACTTGCTCACCAGCTCTATCTTGGCATGAGGGAACTTGTTAGCACCCTGAACCACAAAGGTCCCATGAACACAGGGCATCCCTGGCACAAAGTGATTTACTTAACACCAGAGAGATAATGACCCTGGAGCAGAGGGGTCAGGACCATCCCTGGGTATGTCCCTGGGTCTGAAAACGCAGCACTGCCATGCCCAAGGTGGTTCTAGTTTAGGCACAGAAGAGCACCCATTTCCACAGTCCCTCTCCCAGGCTTCTGAGTGACCTCAAGCACCTGGTAGGAAAAGTGTCCACACCTGTAACTGGACACAGGAGAATGGGTTAAGGGTGGCACCCAGCTCTGACACACAAGCAGAGCTGATGAAGACTCACCAGCTCTCCAGCTATCCTCTTCCTTCCCTCTAGAAAAGGGGCTGACCATGCAGATCTCCCCATCTGTGGAACAAGACACTTTGTCCTCAAATCAGCCTCTCCCTGCACCATCTTGCCCCAGAAGCAGCTAGGAGAAGGGATCCAGCATTCAGTAGAATTTGCTTTGACAAATTTTTCTCCCTTTCTAGATAAGTTCCCTGTCTGCAGCAGAAACAGTTCACTCCCAGCTCCTTATTTTGGCTGAGCGGGAGCAGTAGGAAATCATGCAAACAACTCACACAAGAGAACCTTGTTCAGGGGAGGAAATGGCCCCAGCAGCAGCAGAGAGGAGAGCGAGGGAGGAGGAAAAGAGCAGGGGAATTCCATGCTTACCGTGCTCTCCTCTTCCAGCCCCGTAACCTGCACTGCTAACTGCTTCCTCAGCCATCAGCATGAACCCCTGCCAGCAGGCTCAGCAAGCACAGCTCCATCCTGCCCAGCTCCCTTCCTCCCCGCATACCAATGTGATGCTGCCCTGCTCCATCAAGCTGTCCCAGCTGCCCTCTGGCAGCTCTGAGGCAGCAGCAGCAGATCCCAGCCGGCTTGCAGGCTCACTCCCATGCTCATCCCTCTGCTCCTGCCCTGGCTCTTCTGTTATGCAGGGCACAGCTTGAATTTGAGCAGGGGGGGGAATGGAAGGAAGGGATGCAAAGCCCCCGCTCCAACAAGCAGCTGCTTCCAACCTGCTGCTCCTGGGGCCAAAGGGAGGGATGGGAACTGATGGACGAGCAGAGGAGGCAGCCTCTGCCTTTCCTGGTGCTCTGCAGAGGGTCTGGTCCAGGTGCTGGTGGATGAGGAGTGCTGAAGGCTGGCTGACAGGGGAGGTATTGCAAGAGGGCTGTGGGCACTTTGTTTTTCAGTGAGGTGGGGAAGGAGGTGGTGAGGAGATAAAGGTGCCCCTGTTCACCCACAGACAGCACCCCTGGCCTCACATCCTCTAGACTCTGCACCCACATGTGTGAGCATTTGGCTCCCTTTCTGAGCAGGTGGTTGGTCCAGGATTGCAGAAGCACTGAACATCAGATGAAAAAACAAGGGGTCTGTCCCACACTACCAGCACTGCAGGGATGGGCCAAGCCAGAAAGCAGGACAGCCCATTCCAGGAGGGCCCAGTCATGGGTTACGAAGCAAAAAGAACAATTGCAATAAAAGCAGCAAACTTCCCAAAAGGTCCACTGGCCATGGCAACTCCATTTCAAATGGAGCAAATTCCTATTCTCACTTATCAGGAGGCAAATACGTTCTTCTACAGTTTTTGTACACGCAGAGGTATCTTGAGGTCTCTTGCAAGAGGACAGTGCCTGGACTTTGCCAGGGCCAGTACAACACACCCTAGCAATCATTTACAGCCCCACACATATCCTTACTGACTTGGATTTTCTTTTAATGAGGCACCAGCTGTGGGTCTAGGATATCTCAGGGCCCCCCTTCAGCCC